CAGTTGGGGTCAGCTGTCCTGGCTGTGTCCCCTCCCAGCTTCTTGTGCACCCCCAGCCTGCTCGCTGGTGGGGTGGGGTGAGCAGCAGCAAAGGCCTTGACCCTGTGGAAGCCCTGCTCAGCAATAATGAAAACATCCCTGTGTTATCAACACTGTTTCCAGCACAAATCCAAAACCTAGCCCCATACTAGCTACTACAGAAAAAATTAACTCTGTCTCAGCCAAAACAGCACAATCCTGAATCATATTATGAAGTTAAACATAAGTGTTAAGTCGTACAAATAGAACCAAGGAACTGCATTTTTGGACGTGATTGTTGATGCAGTTGTTTAACATTGAATTTAAAATTTTGCTTAGGAACTGTTGACACACCATCTTTACAGGAAAGAATCCAAGCGCGGCCTAACCCAGAACAGGTGAGAAAGCACTGTATTAGTTTGATCATGTGCATACATATATTTAACTCCCTTAAAAAAAAAATAAGGCATTTCTACCCAGATTCAAGAATGTCCCCTACTTCAGAGTACCATAACCATATGGTAAGATAATAGTAGTGTCTCCTTTGATAGTTTGGTCAGTTTGTACTCAAGACATAAGTCTTAAAATGCCTCAGAAGGATACTGTTACTTAGTGAATACAGAGGGTCTGTCATCCATGGAAGTATTTGCAACCATTGGTTACAGTATCTAGTGCAAAAGTAGCAGACATTTTTTGCCGTGGCACGTGGCAGCCACAAACTAGTGCAAAACCATGATAAAGGGGCATTCTGGCCTATGCATTTCAAGATTATTTGGGATCCCTAACCATACTGACTAGATAACTGTGAGCCCTCATTTGAAGGGCCTGGCAATATCTACCACCAAAGGAAGAAGGACTTCTGTTGGCTTTATTCTGGAACCAGAGATGTAGGTCCAGTCTCCTACTATTTTTTTCAAGCTGAAATTCATACTACTGTTAATCTTCCAATTTCTTTTTCTAGCATAAATTCCCTACCCAGTGTACTAAAGGAAGTTATGACTTATGGCCTGTTTCCAGTATTGCTTTGTACATGTAAGACTAATTGGATTAAAATAATTGTTTTGTGTTTTTAAGATACCAAATGTTCTTATATATCTAGGCATTGAAAGACTTTCTAGCCAGACAGAAGACTGGTAGGATGGCTACTGCTGAAGAAGTGGCCCATCTCTTTGTGTACTTGGCCTCTGATGAAGTAAGTACGGAAAGATAAAATTCCCTCTCACAGAATCTACTTTGCTGCATCACAACAGAGGGCTTTTGGTTTAGGAGGATCTATGTTGGTTTTGAGCTGGATTATTACAGAAAGAAAAAGCTGATGATCTTTTCCTGAGTTTAACCTACGATACAAAAAGTACTCTGAATGTTGGCCGTGATTGTTAAGGCACCATGTATTTGGTACCATAGCCTGGTGCCTCATGTCATCTCAGCAAATCGACCCCAGTTCATCCTGAGTGATAGGAGAAATGGGCTTGTCTGCTTTTCCAAGTTTGTACTACAGCTAGATTATGTTTTAAGGAGGTAGAATTATACTCATCACCTACCTTCGCTATTCAAGGGCAAATATTTGTGTAGAACTGCTGGAGATTTTAGCTAAAAGTGCTAATGCTCAGAGTAAATCTACCCTTTCAGCATAAGGAAAACAATAGACCCACTGAGGATGTTACAGACCAAACTTAATGACCACTGCAAATACCACCAACACTAATGAGCACACATCGAGGTTATTTCAGATGCCATAAATTTACTGTGAATCTAAAATTGGACTGGATTCCTCTGGACTTGTCCAGCAGTCCTACTGAGCATAACAGAATACTTTAACGGAATGAATTCAGTCTTAATGTTGCTATCTACCAGTAATCTGTTTCTCATCTTCATCTTAGTTTTAGTGTTTCTGTAAAGCTACTGATTTCTTTCCAGTCGGGTCATAGGGTTTCCAACCATGTGTAGAAAGAATTCCAGTTTTCTGATACATTCCAGTATGCTTCAGTACTGGCATACAGAGAAGAATGTCACCTCATCAGTGGCTTACCTCACTTTTCCGCACCATCTAAATTTTCAGTTAGGTCCCCTTATAATTATCAGCTGATCTGGTCAGATTCTGCTCAGCTGAACACAGTTAATAACATCATAGTGTGAGGTATAATTCTCGCAGGTGAGATCTGAAGGTCTAGCTTATATGAATTTGTACACTCAAGATGCATTCTCATCTGAATGCCACTAATAATACTTTTGCTACACTCCCCTGAATTAGCTGAAGGGCTTCCATTTCTAAGTTTGTTTATATTCTATTTATTCAGATATTTTTGTAAAACAAAAGTTTGTGTAAAAAGAAGATAGTTTTTTGAATTTAAAGATAAAGTGTTTCCCTGTACTTACTAGCTACAAAAAATTAGTTAAATTAATGTTACTCTTTATGTAATTTCAGTCTGCCTACATGACTGGTAATGAACTAATCATCGATGGAGGATGGAGCTTGTGATTGACCCTGCCTGCAAATGGAAATTAATAGTATAAAAGGCAAAAAATGAGGATCATCTTTCTCAGTTAAGATAGCTTGCAAAGATTTAGATCGCTCACATGATGTCTTTCAAAACAAATTTGGTGCTTTTCTACTGCTATATGATCTCTTTATAGACTGATCTTACCGATTCACTTTTCCTTAAATAGCGAAACGCTGGGGTAAAACATACTTCATGCGGCTTCATTTTATGGTTACTCCAAAAACATGAAAGAATAGCAATTTAACATTTAAGGTTTCAGAGGGCAAAGACTATTATTTAAGGTACAGAATCTGAGTTGTGTTTTAAGCAAATCTGAGTGAAAGGAGATAAATACGACCTTTATTGTCATCCTGCAAAGTATCTGGAATTTAAACATTCACCATTAGATTTCCTACTACCATGGACAGACTATCTACAGAAAATGGAGCAAGTACTATTAAATCAGCCCAAAGGATCCTGAACTAAGCGTGGTTTAAACAGAAGAAATCAGAAATAATAGCAAATTTGAAGATTTGAACACGAATCATTTTGTTACTGGCAGTGGACGTTTCTATATTAGTTGCACATTGTACTTGTAATTTGCAAAGCAGAATGTGCTTTCAAAGTAAGTTCTTTCTGCTCTGTACTATCATTAGCAAAATGTAGCTGTAGAAAAACAGTCTGAATTGTTGAAAAAAAAAAAAAAAATGTCCCAAGCCTCACAACACTTACAGATCCAAAGTGGATGGTGCAAGACAGTCAAACACACTGTAGATACATGGTGTATGGGCACATGAAACTTCTGTGCATATAGCAAAGAGTCAGTGTACGTGCACAGCTGCTTTGTGCAACTGCTATGTCCATTTTCCAGATCCTGGGCAAGTTAGGCTATTAGAATCTGGAAAAACAGTAGATCATAGCACAAAAGGCAGGGCAATAGATACTATTAGGAGCAGTAGGTTTGGCTACTTTGTGGAGTTTGGGAGGTGGATCTTTTTGTTTAAGCACATAACGATTATAGACACCATCTTCATGAAGCAGAAATGATGGAGAGGTGCTTGCTCTAATGGTTAAGACTAAAGCTTACAGCATGTAGAGAGCATAGAGAATCACATATACTTTTACAATCAGCTAGAAAATAAGTACATTAACTAGTACGAAAGAACTGAGAAATGGAGGCCAGACCTGTTTCATTAATGGTATAGATCACTCCTAAAATGGTCTTGGAAGTATCATGACTATATTTCCCCCCCCCCCCCCCCCCCCCCCCCCCCTTTCCACATACAGAAAGTATGATGCAAGGACATCACTCCGGTAGGCAAGGATGGGGGTATATGCGGAAGAAGTATTCTTAAATACACAGATGGATCTTCACAAATACACTTCACTTCTGGCACACAAGCAAAGGGAGTGGATTTTACCACTCTAGATAGAGCCAATATATTCCTCTTCAAAGAGGTGTACTAGTATGCATGTACTAACGTTGTCAAATCTGTATGCTAGGTGCTAGGCTTTGGTATTCTATTGCTTGATTCTCAACTACCAATACAGTTCATGCTACAGCACAAGGCTAAGTTTCTCTGAAAAGGACTGCTTCTACAAGAGTTTGTCTGATTTTATTGTGATAGCACATGGTAGCTTTGATTTATGAATCACAAACCTATTATTATAAAGTCTCATACTCTGGAACAAAACAGATCCTGACCCAGGGATCTAAGGCAATGAATAAACTGAATTCCAGAACTCTGTTTTGCTAACATACTGTTAAATTTTATAGGAATGACATAGGCTGACTGCCCAAAAATACGATTACCTTAAAAAATTGCACACAGCTTCATTTATCTGGTTTGTGAATGACACTGTACGCAATTTCATATATATTCATATATATTAAATACATATGTATGTGGGGGGAGGAATTAAAGAATAAATGCTACTGAGTATGATTTATCAGTAATCAGAAAGCACAGGGGGAAACGTACAATCTTTTGTGTTTCTGTAACAACTGCCATGTTTTTAAAATTATTGCTTAAGCTTTTCAATATTTACCGAAGCATTAATAGAAATTATTTGATTTCAAAGATAATGGAACGTGTCTAGTTAAAATCAGGCTTCTTATTTGTAAAAGTTAAATTTACTTATAATTTTAAAATGAGAAAGTATTGTGGATGTTGGCTTCCTCAGGCTCACTATGGGTTTGACTTTTACCTTTAACCATGGTTGGAGCATTCTGATCTTGTGTAGTTTGTTTATGGGGTTTCGAGTATCTAGGATTTCAGTAAAGTGACCCTGGCAGCCAAGCAGGATCAAGTTGAGGCAGAAATCCAATGTTACCCAAAACAGCTCCACCAGTGTTCACTGACTAAATTCAACTGTTAAAAGTTCAGGCTGGCAGGATACTGTTTCAATGCTGTCAGAGTTTAATATGAAGGCCAAAGCCCTTCCTCTGCAGTAGGCGTAGGGGGCTTACCTTGAAAAGAGAATCTCCCCACTGCAGTAACACGGGGAACTTGCACTGTGTATTCTGAAAATACAATTAAGAATCTGAGAGAAAATGTTACACATATTGCATATTGAACTTTATTAGTTAACATTTCTAAGCTCACTGGTGATTGTAATATCTGAGATACTACTCAAATGTTGTTTTTGTCAAAGTACTCCTGCAAGAAAAGGAGAGACCACCTGCTTTTTACACTGCACTAAAAGCACAGAGATAGGGATTTTTTTTGTGGTAGTCCAAGAAGCTGGTGGACCAAAAATACCCAAACCAAACAAAAAAAAACCCCTCTTGCCTTATTAGCAATGCTTTTCATGAATGTGTTAACAGCTACAACTCTGAAGTGTGTTATAATGCCTAGGGGCTTTCCAGCAGACTTGCTGGAATTATTAAAGGAGAATGCTCCTTAATGCTCTTGTTCCCTGGTCTGTTTTTGTGGAACTGGGTAATGCTATTTCTTTTCCTTCCACTCCAGTGATAATATAAAGAGGAGGTTTTTTGACTTTTCAGAATCTTGATCAAACTTTTCTTTTGTGGGGAAGGGGGAAAGAGACTTCCCTGATCCAGAGTCCTTCTGGAAAATTTAATCTGATCAAAAACCAGTGCTTTTTTTCCCTTGGATTTGTAGTCAGCTTAATTCTATGTAATGCAAAGTAGCAACATGTGGCATTTGAATCTGCTTTCACATGTGCCCAGTGCAGCTTGCAAAATGAAGCTGAGAGAGAAGGTCTGTCTCATTCCCTTATGTGCACTGACAGGGAGGTGGACACACCTGATTCTACTTGAAGAAGTAGAAATGTCTTGGTGAGAACATCATAAACATGCTTTTTTTTTTTTTTTTTTTTTTTTTTTTTTTTTTTTTTTTTATTCTGCCTGCCCCAATGCAGTTCTTCTGCATGCATCCAGAGCAGAATCATCTAGAGATCCTTACCCTTTCCTTGCACCTAACCTCCAAGCGCAGTGCTGCAGTCTGAGGACTGTGCACAGCTTCCCCCTGTCTCTTCCCACAGCCATAGGGAAAGGCAGGATAGCAAGCAGCCTTTTTATGTGTACAGGTTACAGCGAAATGGTATGGGAAGCGGCGGGCTGGCTCTGTGAGACACAAACCTGCTTCCGTCTCACCCCTGGTCCCCCTGGACGCCGTGGGCTCAGGGCTGCTCCGTTGCTCAAACCAACCTGACCCCTGTCTGGCAGCTCAGTACAGCCACCCCTCGCCGCAGTGACCTGCTCACGGTGCCAAGAGGTAGGAAGGCAGCCGGGAACCCCTTTCGGTCTTCCCAAGCTCCAGAGCGAGGGTTTTGCTGCCGGCGTAGCGAGGCTGTGGCTCTGGAGGAGGGCCGGTGGCACTGGCAGCAAGAGCGGGGGAGGCGGAGCCAGCGCCGGCACAGAGCTGCTGCTGCCTGCGGGGAGCGGATTACCGCCTCCCCGCCTCCCTGCGGCGGGGGCCGCCCGGC